GAAAGCCATCTACTGCATCTTTGCTTTGATAATATTACTGAATATGATCCAGATGTAGTATTTGATAAAAATGTGATTTTCGCTCAGAATGTTGCTTTTATTATTAAACCTACCCACATTAAAGTGTTGATAAAAAAACAATGCTTGAAGCTAGAATAAAACAGATTTTTGTTTTTTTGAAAGCAGAGGGTCTGATCTTTATTTTTATGTATTGCATGTTCAGATATTCATACAACAAAATATTCTGGGGGCAATGAAGTTTTAGTGAAAATCAGCAAAGACGCTGGTGGGGAAAGAGTTAACTTGTATGCTCAAAAACATTAATCTTATAAAATTATTTATGCGTTTGAAATTTTGTGGTGTAAATGCATTTATCATTAAACAGTCTGTGTAAATACATCTAAAGCCACTTCAGATGCAGCTATTGTTTCCTCTGCAGTGGAAAGATGTGCTTAAGTATGTACTGCACCTTTAAATGACGTCGTTCAGGTTCTGCGCAGCTGCTCATGTGATCATAAATGAATGTGCTGATGTTAATGCACTTTCTCGCTGCTGCAGCCCATCTCTCTCTCTCTCTCTCTGTGTCTGTCTCTGTCTCTCGCCCCTCCTCCGCTGGCTCAGCTGGTCAGCCGGCTGTTTGAGTGTTTATCAGTGGCGCAGGAGGAGGTAAGATGCTGTGTGTCGTCTGTGTTTGTGGATACATGTGTTTTTTTTCTTGGTAGGTCTTGTGTGTGTCTGTGATGGTTATTGTAGTGTTTCTGTAGCTCTGCATGAGCGGGATGATGAAGGTCTTCGGTGTGTCGTCGTGCTTTGTTTGTCCTCTATATCAGCTCAACACGAGCGTCTCGCAGCTTCACCGTGAATCCGTTCTCCATTGTGTTGTCGTTCAGTGTTGATGGTCACGCTGATGCTGCAGACGCTCGTGTTGAGCTGCATTGGTTTATCGATTCATTTGATCGTCTCCTGGTGTAAGTGTTTAAAGAGACGCTTCCTCGTTCTGAACATGAGATCATCTCTGTGCAACATAAAGGGAAAAATCTTTCAATACAAAATCAGTTCAGACATTTTTCAACACTGTTAAGATCCTAAAAGGACAAAAGCTCCATGCATCGTAATTTGGTCCATACCAGGGTTATTATTGTAAACTAAGACCATAAAAAACATTGTCATTACTTAAAAAACATTCACTGAAATAAAATAATTTTAAGCTTTATGTAATTTAAAATTTTTAACTTTTGTCATTTAAAAAAAAAAATTGTATTTCTATTTAGATTAAATTTATTTTATTTTAGTTTTCGTACTCATTTTAGTGCTTGAATTTAAACTGTATTTCAGCTGGTTGCCAAGGCAACATTTTCAATTTAGTTTAACTTAATACTAAAATAACTCAAATTAAAATTGAAATAGAAATTGATAAAAACTATACAGACATTAAAAAACTAACATAGTTTTTTATAAATATTTTAAGTTATTTTATATATTTTATATAACTTTTTAATTTTAATGTTGATGTTTTAGTTGTGTTTTTTTCTGTACTTTTTCTATATATTTTTTTATATATAAATTTAAATGGAAATAAAATAAAATAAATTTACCTCAACAAGTTGCAAAGGCAACATTTCTTAAAAAGTAAAATATGAAAATAAAAAGTAAAATATAATAGAATCTAATTTTTTTTTTTAATTAACAAACTATCATCGCAACGATATAAAAATAACATTTTAGATTTGTTGGGTTAGTAAAGTGGATTGAGGTGATTTTATTTACATTTTTAGTAATTTCGTAGTTTTTGTCAATTTTAGTTTTTTTTTGTGTGTGTGATTTAATCTGATTAAAAATGTTAATCTTAATCTAGCTCTACAAAAAACAACAAAATTATGAAATATAAAAATATAATCTAGTTTAAATCTAATTTATTCATTTTGATTCAGCTTTTCAACTAAATGACAAATGTTTTCTTGGCAACCAGCTGAAATAAAATAATTTTCATTTTGTTATGTTTCATTTTATGCCAGTAAACGTTTATTTCATGTAATAAAATTGATTTTTTTTTGTTTTTTTAGTGTTTTTAGTTTAGTGTTAATAACCCTGCTGTGAAGCGGTTCCTGTGACGGATCTGTGTGTGTTTCTGTCAGGATTCGGAGGCTGTGGAGATCATGCTGGGAGTTTGTTCCAGCGGCCTCCTCGTCTACAGAGATAAACTGCGCATCAATCGCTTCGCCTGGCCCAAAATACTCAAGATCTCCTACAAGAGGAACAACTTCTACATCAAGGTGCGGCCGGGAGAGGTGAGGTGGAGTCTCGTGCTCTTCTTCACATCCACTGCTGTCTGCGGTAATATCGTAATTGTTGTTTAAACGATGTGCGATTTGACATTATCGAGTATTTTGCAAAAACCATTCAAAACTCGCCTACAGAGTGCATGCATAGATTTAGAGTGCGTTCTTTCTCTGCATGATTCAGTATTAAAATGCATTTAGAATGATCACAACATTCAAGACATGGGGACGGAAAATGTGCATATTTATATAATTTCATATAGTTAATCAATATCACACAGAGAGTGCCGTTTTTATCTCCAAAGATTACCATGATTGCAAATGTGATATTGACTTTTTATAGCAGTTCTATAAACAAGTTAATATTAAGAGACTGACTTTTTAGACACCATATTGCCTGTTTTATAG